GAGAAAGCACTGAGCAAGGAGATGGTTAGCCGGGGCGTGCAAGTGCAAAACGGGTCGCCAGACACCTCCAGGGGGCGCCGCATGCACCACCGGCACTCGCAGACGGACAGGCCGGCCCCGGTCGCCCGGCAACCGCACGCCGTCGCCACGACGACAATCATCCTCTCGAAGACGGACAGCGTCGTTGCCGACGACACGAAGGAGCGGGCGCTGCGGGAGGAGCGCGCCCTGGTGGCGGCGGCGAGCGACAGCTACTGGCCGGCGGACGACCGCGGCGGTGCGTCGCGCTCCCCCGATCCGACGCTTCACTCCCCGCGCTCCCCCGATCCAACGCCTCACTCCCCGCGCTCCCCCGACCCCGCGCACTCGCTGCGCGCGGCGCTGTCGCCCTCTGGCGAGCACGACGGCGTCACGCGCTCACCGCCTCCAGCTCGTCGCCATCACCGAACCGCATGCCACGCCCTCGAGCAGCTGGGCCGTGTCTGAGTCGAGTGCTCGAGCGCGACACTCGCTGGAGGAGCCAGGACGGCCGCAGGTACGGCGGCGGCTGGCGGCGGCGCGACGGCGCGAAGCGGCCAGCGGCGGTGGTTGGTGTTTGGCGTGCCGTGCGCGTGGAGAGCGAGCGCAGCAAGTACCACCTGCTTATCAAGAGAGCTACTGCGCGACGATGGAAGTACCTGCGGCGCGAGAAGAGGCGCTGCGGGGAGGTGCGCGGCCGCGGCACCGCCGCCGCTCGTAGAGAGAACGCGCAGGCTACGCGCGCGGCCTGCGCGACGCCCGAAGCAGGTGGGCCGCCGCCGCCGCCTACCGGCGCGCTGCAGCAGGAAACGAGAGTCTGACGGCGGGGCGATGGAGGGTTGCACGGCGACGTGCGGCTGCTGGAGCAGAGAAGGCGTCGCTTGAGGCGACGCTGCAGGCTTGCTTGCAGCGAGGAGCTGATATCGTCGGAAGCAGAAACACTCGCTGAGAGTGTTTACGCGCAGGCTACGTGCGCAAATGAACCGGTGGCTCCCGCGGGGTACGCGAGGCGGCGTGCGACGATTCGAACGACCGTCCGCGACTCAGAAAGAGCGGTTGTGAGAAGTTTGGACGCTGGCGGTCAAGGTCTCGGAAGGTCGGGTTACGTCTGTGGGTGGAGAGGTGAATGGCATACCCCCTCTGGGCTCCCTTCTCATGATGCATCGGGACTGTCCATAGAAATGAGAATGTCCTGCGTTGTCTCGGGAAGTAAGGAGGGCGAGGAGTTGGCGAAACATCGATGCGAGAACAAGGCGTACGGCTATGTATTTTAAATAAGAATGGAACAGACACGGAAGAGATCGCGGAGGAAGGTACATTGCCCACCACAAGATCGGACGCCACCTATAGCTTATGTTGCAGGTTTATGCCCGATTAGCTCACTCCGCCATAAAGGGCGCTCCCTATGGTTCAGGTATCGGGAAGCAACCGAAACAGTGCTTATGTGTCTAAAGTAGAAGCGATAGCAGGCTAAAAGGCGCAAGTCCGAGAAAATACTCTTATGTTTCTACACCAAGTCGTCAAAGTCTGTGATGAGACGTTCGTTAGATGAAGCAGCGGCGTAGATTGAGCGCGCTTTTTGTCAAAGGTCTGTGCATGAGCGGCGGCCGCGTGGCTGCCGGAGAGAGAGAGCAGA